ACCGCAACCTCTGTCTCCTGGGTTCAGGCAATTCTCCTGCCTCAGCCCCCTGAGTCGCTGGGATTACAGGCACGCGCCACCATGCCCAGCTAATTTTTTTCTGTATTTTTAGTAGAGACGGGGTTTCATCATGTTGACCAGGATGGTCTCGATCTCTTGACCTCGTGATCCACCCGCCTCGGCCTCCCAAAGTGCTGGGATTACAGGCTTGAGCCACCGCGCCCGGCCAAAATGGAAACAATTCTATCAATAAGTGGGGAATCCGTTAAGCAAATAGCTATAATGGAAAGATCTATTGCCACTAAAAATGTTATAAAAAGTTTTTAGTGACATAGAAGAATGCGTATGATAAAGTGCTGATTTAGAAAGGAAGATATAACTTCTTATATAAAGAAATATTTCAACTAGCTTTTTAAAAAATGCATGGAAGTATGACTAAAGGGAAAGACACTAAAAATATTAGTGGGTAGTAGAGAGTTTGGGTGATTTCAGTTTTCTGTCTTTAGATACTTTATACATTTTGATATAAAGCCTAAACAAGAATATTGGCAGACTTGAGAAGACAATACATGAACAGATTAGAAGTGTCTAATGAAGCCTAGAGTACAGGTCTCCAAGAGCAGGTTTATCAAAGTCTATGCAGCAATGCCAGGGAAGAGTAAGGTTGATACATCAGACCTAGTTGGCAGTCAATATAAAAATCATCCATTCATTTTCTCTCATACTCACTTCAGTGCTTACCAAGCAAAATTATGATTTTTAATTGGCATTCTAACATGTTCTGATAGGCAAAATTCACTGGTTGCACCAACATATACCTACGTTAATTCAATTCAGCTTATACATCAGTCTCCTGTGAGTTGATTGGTGGGAATCAGTTCTGGAGAAATCAGTCAATTCTTGGTGCCCTGATAAGATCAAATTTCTGGATCTGCAAACCTGAAGGCTGGCTGCTGAGCTGCAGAAACACCCCAGAGTTGTTGACCACTGATGAGTGGTCTGTGAGCACTGATGGCGCCAGAACACCTACAAATTGCCTCTCATTGTTACTACTCTTATGTGACAATCACAGTCTCGGAGCTGGCCCCTCAGCTGCCCCTCCTTTCCAAGTTTTCTAAGAGATACCTTTTTTATTCTCAGGGGATGACAGCATGGGAGGAAATAACTCCACACCTAAACCCGACACTGGTGAGTTTACGACAGGAATAATTATTTGCTTCACTTCTGAGCTAAAAGAACTAGAAATGGTGCTGAAGGGCTGTAATGGAAAGGCACTGGCATTTCTGAAGTTGGAAGAATCCGATTTTACCATGACGCAGAATCTAATGCCGGGAGGGGTGAAAGGGGGAACCATAGAGAACTACCTGGCCCTCCAAACCTGAGTAAAAGGTGTCTCTGCTTGATATCAAACTAGCTGGGTCCTGCTCCCCTATTTGTGATGTAGGTGTTGAGAAAACCGCTGTGGTTGTTTTGGGCTAGGCACTGTTAATAGCTGCCCGGCAAAAAAAGCAAACAAAAAAGGGCAGCAGTTTCAAGGTCAAATTCCCCAAGACTTTGGGAAACATTTGTTCTGTTTCTCCCTAGCTAGGAGAGGCTTTCCTTAGGTCGGGAGCATATCTCTTCAGGGATTCCTATTAAAATCTTTGAGAAGGGCAACACCTGAGATGTTTTTGTTTATCGAAGGGACACTAGGCTTGTATTTCATTTATGTAGCTGGTTGATTTTTAAGTTCCAGTTCTAATTTTCATTTAAAAGTACTTGGAATCTAAAAAATATAATGTTTTCCCATTTTTATAAGAGTTACAGCCCCATCCTTAATTTCCACCGGTTGCTTGGGCAGAACGGGGCACCTGGGGACACTTAAGCTGGAAGGATATCATGAAAAATGGCAGATACACTAATTCCTTTTGTGTTTTCTTGTAGAAAGACAAGGCAGTCTCTCCACAGCAGCCCCAACAACTAGCTCTGCACCATGTCTCTCTAACCACCGCAAGTAAATGAGCATTCTCCCATCTGTTTCATCTTGTACCACATGGATTTTGATGTTGTGTTGACAGCTTTGGCTTGGGGACTTGGTCAGGGAGTCTGGGGAGAAAGGACTAGAAACCATAAAAGAACAAAGTCAGTTTGTGATCTCAGGAGTATGGCTCTTAACTTGGCATCCCCTAAGCTTCAGGAGACCCATAGATCCCCTAAGCTTATAAGTAAAATTTGCTGGGTGGGAAATGATGAACATTGTGTCGGTTGACGGAGGAGGAGGTGGAGAGGCCACAGCTTTCACTGGGGCCTCAAATGGATGTGAAACTCAAAAGCAAAAGCTAAAAACCACTGCGTCTATTAACCAATATGAAAACCATTTCAGGAGTCCATCCATAGGCAGGAAAGGTTACACTCTGACCTTTAGGAAAGGCCTTCAAAAGCCCAACAGTTCATCCTCTCCCTTTCTTTGCCAAAACAGCAAAGAACACTTAATCCTTGCCTTTTGTGTTGGGGTTCTACTGACGCTGCTGCTGATGGCCTTTATCTTCCTCATCATAAAGAGCTACAGAAAATGTAAGCAGTCTCCAGGGGATAGGACAGCCCTTCTTTCTCTGCCACTGAGACTAGAATTAGCTGTGAGTGAGTACTGGGAGGAGGTGGGGGAGGGTGCAGTGTGATAAAACCTGCTTAGCCCACCCTGTCTGCAGACTGGGGACTCGAAACCCTTCATTTTTCTTCTACCCTGCCCTCCCCACCTGCCAACACCTCCTCCCCACCCCACCCTTCACCCAAGGTTGAAGGGAGAGGCTTCCCATTTGTTGAGGCTCATTGCTAAGATGGGTCCTTCTTCTTTCTGGCACTGTGGCAGGTCACCCCAAGCCCCAAGCCCTGGATCCTCACACAGATCCTCCAGCCATGGTAAGATAACCACACTGTTTTGAGGACACTGAAGGGCTACCATCATTGGATTTCCCCTGCACACTCTGCATTATCTACTAGAATGGTGGTATTGATTTCCAGATACTGGACAAGTGATTCTTTGACCAAAGTGCTCAGGTTGCTTCTAAAGAGTAACCTTTTGCCGGGCGCGGTGGCTCAAGCCTGTAATCCCAGCACTTTGGGAGGCCGAGGCGGGTGGATCACGAGGTCAAGAGATCGAGACCATCCTGGTCAACACGGTGAAACCCTGTCTCTACTAAAACTACAAAAAAATTAGCTGGGCATGGTGGCGCGTGCCTGTAATCCCAGATACTCAGGAGGCTGAGGCAGGAGAATTGCCTGAACCCAGGAGGCGGAGGTTGCGGTGAGCCGAGATCGCGCCATTGCACTCCAGCCTGGGTAACAAGAGCGAAACTCCGTCTCAAAAAAAAAAAAGAGATAACCTTTTGCTCCAAACTGAACTCATTCATTCCTCCTTTTTTTCCCACGGCAGGTTTCACGCATCCCAGAGCAATCACTTGCCTGTGCTAACATGACTTTCAAACACTCAGAAGAAAAGAGCAATCACTTGGCTGAGAACCGTTCTGCAGACTTCGACCCCATTGTCTATGCTCAAATTAAAGTAAAGAACTAACCCCGCTTTTCCAATGAGGCTTGAATCCACTTCCTCTCCTCTCAGCTCCATCTTCACACATCACTTTCCCTTTTTTACAAATGTTGGAGCAACACCTGTGTAAAAGTGCAGTCGGGGGTGTTTAGGTGTGATCTGGCGATGCTGTCCAGCAGCTCTGAATACCAATGGTCCGTCTTTTCCTGGACAGAGAAAAGACTGATAGCCCTCCCACTTGAACTGACAGCCTGTGAGGCCCTTGGGGGCATAGACTGCCTTCCTTGTACCCTTCCAAAGTGTGTGGTACGGAGCTCAGTGAGCAGATATTCTCCCAGCCTCATGAATCAGCTTGGGAGGAGTCAACCAAATGAACAATCTACCAGGAATTCCAAATAAAAGCAAACCCCCCATAGCGCTGCCTCCCTCTTTATTATTTATTTGTCTGTTCCTGCCACCTTCTCCAGAGATCAAGACTAAAAGTCCATAGCTCATTCACAGCCATTAAAGGTGATGGCACTTGGAAACAAGGTCAGGTTTGATTGGGGTGAAGGTCTCAAACTCTGCTACTAACTAGCTGTATTCATTTAGGCAAGCTTGTTAAACGTTTCAAGCCTCACGTTTTTCATCTTGAAAATGGAGATAACACTTAACACTAATATTTAGCGTGAGGATTAAATGAAATACACATAAGCATTGTATACATCCCAGAATTCTACACAAATACAAGGTCCCTACTGTATAAAAGCACTACGTAAATGGAGATTTCCACCTCCGTCCTATAGCATAAGAGATATGCATAACAATATTATATGAAAACCAAAGATAAAGATTAAACATTAATTCCCCCAAAATCCTAATGAATAATCACATATAAAATGCCATTATAAAAGAGCTGTAATACTTGATGATATTTATTATTTTTATTTTTTATTTTTTTTTGTATTTGGGCTCTGGGATATATGTGCATGTCCTGCATCCTGCAGGATTGTTGCATAGGTATGTACATGCCATGGTGGTTTGCTGTCTCCATCCACCCCAGCCCCCTCATCACCTACATCAGGCATTTCTCCCGGTGTTATCCCTCCCCCTTCCTTCCCCACAAACTGTCCCTCCCCTCCGCTCCATCCCCCGCAAGCCCTGTGAGTGCTGTTCCCTTCCCTGTGCCCAACACACTTGATGATATTTATAATGGCATTTTTATAGCAGGCTTTCCGGTTTTTGCCAGAAATCTCCCCACAAAAATAAAAGAAGGAAAAAAATCATCAGATGAGTCCCAAAGGTGAACAACAACCACCAAATATCAATAAGATTATTTTTCGCTAGGCAAGCTTACTCTAAATTTTCTATGTAAACAATAAACAAAACAGCAAATTCAGGAAAATGTATAAAAATAAGTAAATAATAAATAAAAGTTATGTGGGAAGGCTAGCCCTTGCAGCTAACTAAAGTGCCTGTTTTATTAAGCATGAAGAATTAAAGCAATATGTTATTGGTGCATGAATAAATTAATCAATCGAATAGAATTTAAAGACCAGAAATAGACCAAAAAACACATAAGGAAATTTAGAGTATGGTGAGGATGGCATATGAAATCATTTGGGAGAAATTGATTTATTCAATAAATGATATTAAGATATATAGGTAACCATGTAAATGAAAATAAAGTAGGATCCATATTTCACTTCTTATATGATAATACATTCCAGATATGTCAAAAATGTAAGTGTAAAAAATCATAAAACATTAGAAGAAAATATGGGAGAATTTTTAAAAAATATTTCTGTAGAGCATACCTTTGAACGTATGTCACAAAGCCCAGAAACCGGAAGAGATTAACTTGATTTCCAAAGTACCATTAAAAAGTCAAAAGACAAATGACAAGCGTAGGAAACACTTGCAAAGCATCTTATAGACAACTAAAGATTCCTTTTAAATCAATAGGGGGAAAATGAACAACGCAATAGAAAGGACAAGGGATACAGGTGCGCAACTTGTAGGAAAGAGTATATAAATGGCTAAAATGTATGAAAACATACGCAACTTCACTCATTATAAGGGAAATAATGATCACAACTATGATTAGGTAATTTTTTCATCAATAAGACTGGTAAAATTGAAAAAGTTTGCTAATGAACTGTGTGAACAAGCTTGAGGGGAACTGCCGGGCGCGGTGGCTCACACCTGTAATCCCAGAACTTTGGAAGGCCAAGGCGGGTGGATCACTAGGTCAGGAGATCGAGACCATCCTGGCCAACATGGTGGAAACCCCCTCTCTATTAATCATACAAAAATTAGCTGGGCATGGTGGTGCATACCTGTAATCCCAGCTACTTGGGAGGCTGAGGCAGGAGAATCCTTTGAACCAGGGAGTGGGAGTTTGCAGTGAGCCACTGCACTCCAGCCTGGCAACAGAGTGAGACTCCGTCTCAAAAAAAAATAAATAAATAAAAGATTGGGAGGAACTAAGACACACATACACTACTGGTGGGACGGCCCATTGGTACAGCTACCACAGAAGATGATTTGTCAATAGCCAACAACATTCTAAATTCTTTTCTAAGAATTTATAAGAAATCCTATTTCTAAAGATTTTTCCTGCTCAAATACATGGAAAATTGCCTACATAACTTGAATCGCAGCAGTGATCAAATTGCCTAGAACTTACTGATGCTTATTACACTTTCAGCATGATTCCAAGTGTGTGGCAAGTATTCATCGAATCCTCACAGAACACTATGAAATTAATGGGGTATGGTGGTGCTTGCCTGTAATCCCAGCTACTATGAGGTTACAATTATTACTCATTTTATACAGAAATGGAGGCACAGAGAGGTTAAGTAACTTGCCCAAGTTCATATTGCTAGTAAGTAGTGGCACCGGAACTCAACCCTAGGTAGGCTGGCTCCCGAGTTTGCACGTTTATCCACTATACTCAATTCTCTGAAATAGCGAAAGATTGAGAAAATCTTCATTGTACATGGAGAGGGGACTGGTTAGTTGGGTGCAACGTAGCCATTAAAAAGAACGAGGCAGCTCTATACGTTCAAATTTAAAAAGATATCTATGATATATTGCAAGCTGTTGAACAGCATTCTGAATATGCTCTACTCACATGTAGTACAGTATATGTGTATCTATATATCTAGTATATCTCCAGAAGAAAACACAATTAACAGGTCTTAGTGACGGCCTCTGGGGAGGAGAAATTGTTACCTGGGGTACCGAGGATCCCTAAATAGACAGACATAAATAAGAGGACTCAGCAGTCAGAAACCAAAATATCATCTTTATTATGAATATGGTCAACATTGTAGAACAGTGCTTACATGACAGCTGCAAAGAAGTTCAGAATACTGAACTCCAGAACAGAGTTATATGCAAGCCCCACCCCTTCCCACAAACAATGCGATTGTTCAGCCCGCCCAAAAGGATTTGCAGAAGAGATCATGTGCTCTTTCAAAGTTGCACCCAAAAGAGCAAAAAAGGAAGAGGAAGAGAGGAAGTATGTATGCCCAGTTCCTCCTCCCGGTCTGCAATGTCAGACAGTCCCGTCTACCTCCCACGGGGAGTCACTGAGGAACGTTGCCTTAATGGAGCTCAGTCTACACCAAATTGGCTAGAACTTACTGAGGCTTTTTACACTTTCGGCAATTTAACCTCTCTGTGCCTCCATTTCTGTATCTAAAATGAGTAATAGTTGTAACCTCATAGTGTTCTGTGAGGATTCGATGAGTACCAAAGGAAGCAGGAGTGGGAGAGAAGCATCCATCACAGATCTTTCAAAAATATATTAAATAATATTTTGGGGTCTGGGTATGTTGGCTCTTGCCTGTAATTCCAGTACTTTGGGAGGACAAGCCAGGGAGATTGCTTGAACCCCAAATTTGAGACCTGTCTGGGCAACATAGGGAGACCCCATCTCTACAAAAAATAAAATAATTAGGCAGGCATTGTGGTGCATGCCTGTGGTCCCAGCTACTTGGGAGGGAGAGGTGGGAGGATTGCTTGAGCCCAGGAGGCTGAGGCTGCAGTGAGCCCAGATTACACCACTGTACTCCAGCCTGGGTGGCAGAGTCAGACCCTGCCTTAATAATATTAATAATAACAATTTGCAAAATCAAGTTAAGAAAATTGAAGTCCAAGGAGATGAAATAATTTGCTCAATGACATCTGGCAAAAAAAAAAAAAAAAAAATGGCAGAACAAAAATTTAAATCACGTCCTCTGACTTCAAATTCCTTGCATCTAGTCTCCACACCAAGCCGCCCCATAGCACCTATGTAGGCAAAGAGACAAGACAGGCAAAGAGTCAGGTGACATGATCCAGAGAGCATGCTCTTTCTGAGAGAGAGCAGCTGCTCCTGGAAGCTGGATTTTGAGGGAGAGGCCAGTGGAAGAGAGTATGATTTTTTTTTTTTTTTTTTTTTTAAACATAGTCTCTCTGTGGAAGTGAACAGGTCTAGGAGAAAGGCGGGTTTAAGGGAGCTAGTTTAGCGAAGCAGCCACAGCAACACTAGGGCGGCTAGCCCCACGAGGGCAGCAGAGACCCAGGAATGGCCTTCTCCCATTCGTTCACTGTAGGAAGCACACACAGGGAGGCCTCTTGAGGTTTCAGCTGTTCCCAAACTCGAGGCTGACATCAAACAATTCTGTCAACCCTGAAGCTAGAGGCCATATCAGTGCAAGGTCGGCACCTTATAAACATAGCTGCAAAAGTAGAGGAAGCATTTTCCCACGGCCATCCACTCATACAGGAAACATCAAATTAATTGCTCTTCCCTGTTTTCTTGAAGCTGACCCCCCCTTTTTTTTTTTTAACAGTGCAGCCCTATACCAAGTCTTGTTTTTTGTCTTCACATTATGCAACCAGCCTTGGTGGAGGATAAAAGATTGATCCCAGATTCAAAGATCTTTGCTAGGTAAGAGCAGAACAAAGCCTTTTGAATCCTAGATCATGGAATCAGAACAGACCTGTAGGGAAATAGCTCTCCAGACATCATGAGTGTAAATCTTCCAAGACATCTGTAGATGTCTTCATCACCTGCAGAAGATCTACATCTGCTATCTCACCTGGTAGAATGGGATGTCCTAACAACCCAAACTGAATTGCTATTCTCAGAAATGGTGGGTTAATGATCCCATTTGTTTAAATTCAGTACAGAGCCACAGTGGAGGGACTAGGGCTGTTTTGCGGCTGAGGAAAAAGAGAGCACTTTTGATGTCATTTGATCTGAGTATCTGGCAGGGAGGTGGGTTGCAGAGAAACACAGAGGTGTGGTGTCCACTCCCTCACCCCTTCCCATCAGGCTGTTGAGTAGCTTTGAATTCCCTACCTTTGGAGAGAGGAGTTAGGGTAGAAGCTGAAGGAAGTGTGTTCATGAAAGACTTTGTGGGAGTCTGGGTGTAAACACGC